GCCTGCCCCGTGAACGATACGAGACATCATGTGCGACACTCTCTCGTGTCATATCAGTTTACACGCAGAGGCGTGACACATGGAGAACAAGAAACGAGAAAACATCTCAACCGATTCGATGATTGCCGGGTATTTACGGTCTCATTACTGTCCACACCGCGAGAGTAGCCACCTCCCAGCCCACAAAAATACCATAAACAATCCGCAACCAAGAAAAAAAAAACCAACCGAGGAAGATAAACTGCGTGGACGTGAGCGTGACTGATTCGCATGTAAATTCACCATCACGTCAGAGCGATTTTCAAGAAAATCGTCAACGATTTTATTGTCAGCAAAAACGGAAATTAAATTGATAGAAATTGTTGATGAAAATGTGGTTAATAAAAACCATAATAACAGAATATTATCATCAATTTTATCATTAGAAAATTCATTGGTATGAGGTTATTATTGAAAAAATTGCCACGTACGGGGGAGATGGAGTTGGGTGAGAGATCGCTGGGTCAACGATATCGGATAAGCGCATACGTATGCCGGATACTTCACCACTAACCGAATAAATTGGCTTCCTATACAAGGAGAGGTATAATTGAATGCTCCGTATGTCTGTGTACAGGAGACGGGAAAAAGGGATTTTAATTTTTTTATCGATAATTTTCAAACGATTTCTAGTAAAAATTGTTGGAGTTGCGTGCAGAAAGTTGGAGTGAAGTACTCACGGTGTGCGGGTGTGTTAGGCCCACGCGTGTGTGTCGAGCCCACGCAGTTTACTCGAGCGTTAATACGAGATGCGCGTCAGCTGCGTAAAAAGTCCCCTCGGGGGGGAAAATCCTCAGGCGGGGATTCGTACGCTGTATTTCAGGATTATATATATACCACCCCCGTCCTTTGTCCAGTGAGATAATTGTCCACGTGGTTAGAGATACTGCCGGGGCACCATTCGCATGATATTGGGTGTCGAGGTGCCGCCACACCTCCGCCCATTGTAAATCAATCGGGTGGCACCTTTGCCCCTCTCTCTGAGAAAGAGGAAACCAGGATCAAAGGGGACTCTTCCTGATTCAAACGGGTTTTTAGATTTTCGCTTCCGGATGGGGGCATTATCGATCTTGAGATTTTGGGGGGACACTGTGGTGAATCAACACTGAGAAAAAAATTATTTTTGCCAAATATTCAGTCCAAAGGTGATTGGAATTTCAGTTACTCTTTGGTGGGAGTTTGCTCAAATTATTTGGATCCATTCAAACATTTCTTTTGTGAAGGCGGGTTATTGTGCGGAGCACACAATTCTTACACAGTTGGGAAAAAAAATTAAATTTCGTTGGTTTGTGATTTTCAGGCGAGTGACATCGAATTGAAATTAGGGGAAAAATAATTAAAATCCAGATTTCACTGAATGTTCAATGAAATTTCAAATTTTTGTGTAGTAGAAAGTCGAGGATTGCCCAATTTACTTGAATTTTCAGTGAAAACATGTACTGAGAAAAAATTATTTTTGTTTGATGTTCATTTACTTGAGAGAAGTATTTATTTTTTCAATGCCGTATTTCTCCAGTCGAGTCATTCCCAGGCGATCATCATTGGGTGTCAATTATGACAATTATATTGCTCCAGAAGATGAGTATGTTAGTTATGACCTTGAGTGCACTCCCTCAATAATTACCAACATTAAAAAAATTATCGAAACTTGGAGAAGTCCATCCAAGGTCAAATGCAACTAGTCATCCTGT